AAAAAAAAAAAAAAAAGCACACTTCAGCAGGGCATGGTGGGGCATGCCTGTAATCCCAGCATCTGGGAAGCTGAGGCAGGAGGATCTCTGCGAGATCAAGGCCTGCCTGGACTATACAGTGAGTCCAAGGCCAACCAGAACTACATAGCAAGACCTTGCCCCGCTTCAAAAAAAGAATGCATACTTAGAGGTTATACGAGGTCCACCTTTTTGAGAGGGTATTTTTTGGTTTGGTTTGGTTGCTGTTTTTTCTTTCTTCTTTTTTGGAGTTCTTTTTCTTTTTTTCTCTTAGGTTTTTTTTTTCCGGTACCGGGAATCGAACTCACGACCTCGCGCTTGCCAGCCAGGCGCTGTACCACTGAGCTAAATCCCCAGCCCCTCTTTTTTTTTTTTTTTTTTTTTTTTCTGTACTAGAAATCAAACTCAGGACCTCCTGCTTGCCAGTTTGGTCTTTTTTTGAGACAGGGTTTCACTATGCAGTCCATTTGAACTCACTTTGTAGGGATATAGTTTAGCAGCACAAGCGCCTGCCTAGCAAGTTTAAGGTCTTGAATTAGATTCCCCCACACACAGACACACACACACACAGACACACACACACACACACAAATATATAATTATGTAGGAACATAGCTCGGGATGGGGTCGAGCAAGCTATGGTTTACCAAACCTTCCAGGTGATTTTGATGAGAACTGAATTTTGAGAACCACTGGGTAAGAGCCTAAGGAATCCAAAAGTATAATAAGCTTCCCTGGGGCTGGGGATTTAGCTCAGCAGCACAGCACCTGCCTGGCAAGTGCGAGGTTGTGAGTTCGATTCTCAGGACCAGGAAAAAAAAAAAAGCTTCCCTAAGGCATACTGTAAAGAGACTGACACAGGTGACTTGAAAAGTACTTTTAAAAGTGTAAAAGTAGCTGGGTGCGGTGGTTTGCTAAAAGTTTGCTATTATTGTTTGGCCTGTTTCCTCCTAAGGAAAATAATATTTTACCATTTGGAAATTTACTTTTACATTTTTTTGTTGGTTTTTTTTTTTTTTTTTTTTTTTTGAGACGGGGTCTCGCTATGCAGTTCAGGCTGGCCTCAAACTCACAACGATCCTCCTACCTCAGCCTCCCAAGTGCTGGGATTACAGACCTGTGCCACCACGCCCAGCTACTTTCACACTTTTAAAAGTACTTTTCAAGCCACTCGTGTCAGTCTCTTTACATTATATGCCTTAGGAAAGCTTACTATAGTTTTAGATTTCTTAGGCTCTTACCCAGTTCGGATTTTCTAGGGCAATGGTTCTCTAAATTCAGTTCTTGGGCAGGGGATATAGCTCAGCGGCATAAGCACTTGCCCGGCAAGCCTGAGGTCGTGAGTTTGATTCCTGAAAATTCAAAAAAAAAAAAAAAATTCAGTTATCAAAATCACCTGAAAGGTTTATTAAACCATAGCTTGCTGGGCCCCATCCCGAGTTTCTGTTTCACTGTTTTGGAATAGAACCTGAGAATTGTCTTTAGTACCAGAGACTGAACCAAAAAGCTTGTATATGCGAGGCATGCAGTCTACCACTGAGCTACTCAGCAAGCTAAGGCAAGAAGATCAAAAGTTCAGGGCTAGCCTGAGCAACCTAGTGAGACTGCCTCAAAATAAAAAGGCTGGGGGTGGAGGTCAGGGGTAAAGTGCCTCTGGTCTCCATCCCCAGTACCACCACCACCACAAAAAAAAGCTTTCAGTAAACTTTATTTTTTACTTATTTATGTATTTTTGTAGTACAGACAATGGAACCCAGGGCCCTTCACACTGTAATTATTGCTTTTATTGTTGTTTTGTTTTTGAGATAGGGTCTAGCTAAATCACTAAACTGCAAAAACAGGCAAGCTGGGCTCAAACTTGCCATCCTCCTGCCTTAGCATCCCAGAGTGCTGAGGTTACAGGCATGTACCACTATGTCTGGCAACAAATATGTTTTGAATATACTCATTTTGTTCCAAAAACAAATGCATCTCCTACTACAAGCCAAAGATTCTCAAACTGTAGAATGCATTGGTATCACCTAGAGGGCTTGTTAAAACTGAGATTGTCAGACATCACAGCTAGAATTTTTTTTTCTGGTGCTGGGGATCAAAATCAGAGCTTCATACATACTAGGAACTGACCTGCATTCCCAGCCTCCTCTCCAAGAGGAATCACTCTCTCTTTCTCTCTCTCTGCCTTCCACTTCCTTCTCCTCTTCCCTCTTTTGCCTCCTCCCAGCCCCCTCAGGTTGAGGATTTTGTTTTGTTTTGTTTTTTGGTACCAGGAACCAAACTCAGGACCTTGCGCTTGCCAGGCAGGCACTTATGCCGCTGAGCTATATACCTGGTCTGTTTTGTTTTGTTTTGTTTGTTGTTGTTGGTTTATGGAACGGGGAATTGAACTCAGGACCTCACACTTGCCAGACAGGTGCTGTGCCGCTGAGCTATACCCCTGGGCCGTCAGGTTGGGGATTGAATCTAGGGACTTGGGCATACAGGCACGCAATGTAACACTGAGCTACAACCCCAATCCCAACCTCCACAATTTCTGAGAAAGAGCTACAGTCCCAAGAATAAACATTTCTAAAAAGTTCCCAGGTGATGCTGATGCTGAGGGATTCCATTCTGAGAACCACTGGACTAGACTATCCTAACCTTCTTGCCAAAACCAGCAGGATGAATTTGCTCTGATCTGGGAAGCAGTATCTAGTAAGATTTAATAATTTAGATTCAGAGACATATGGATCAAAGATTCAAGCCTTCTGTCAACAGCTCGCCATTATAGGCTGCTTGCCATTGGAAAGCCAGTTCTCAGGAGATGAGAGTTGGCAAAAAAACCCGAGTGTCATCTGCAGGCCAGCATCCTGAGAGGATAGGGATTCAGAAGAAAACTGTCTCAGTCCCCCATTTGCAGTAACTCCGGGACACCAAAGGCTTTTGAAAGGAGGCAAAGGAAGAACACAGGGGTGGTGAGCCGCAGGGGAGGTCATCTTCATCTGGCAAGTGTCTCCTTTCTTTCCTCAGGCCAAAACATTCCAATAGCCCTTGATCTCCAGGTGGTAGTTACAAACAGGTTCCTTTTCTGCAAATTAAACACCAAAGCAGTTTAGATGCTTTGTATTAGATGATACACAGAACTTTTTTAAAAACAAGGAGGGGCATTACACATTTTGTTATCATCTATCATTAGAGGTCACCAGATGTTCTGGGTTCTGCGAATCTAAAGAAAGAGTTATTTAGCCATTAACACCTGTATCATGTAGGTACCACCTTTCTTTAGAATTTCCAACGGCAGGAAAAAGAAGCGAAAGTAACTTGTCAAGGGCCACTCAAAGGTACAACCACTGTTACATTTCTTTGGGAATCTTAAGCAAAATCACTACAGAGTCTCAGTAATCAAATCTCATGAAAACAATAGATCCTGCCTGCTAAAATGCTGTGCAGATTCATGGAGATCCAGAGCAGGTGCTTAGTGAAGGAGAAACAGTTGATAAAGACTGTGAGTGAATCCCAGCCCGGCCACCCCCTCATTCTTTCCCACCCTGAGGCTCTGGCTGTCAGGTTCCTTGATCCAGAACTCAGGCCAGTCCTGGCCTGGTGAAAAAAAAAAAAAAAAAATGCAGGAGCCGAGGCTGATACAGCCTTGAGCCACCTTACTCTCCTCCTGCCTAGGATACCGACACCAGCAGGGACAGGACCCAGCCTTGCTGGGAGAGCAGGGACTGGAAGCCACTAACACTAGCAAGGGAAGCAGTTTCCCAGGCCGCTTGGAGGAGGAGGATGACAGGAAGCTGGCTGCAGAGCTGGAAGGAGTTGGGAGAGAAACCCAAGCAGCCCACTTGCTGCCTGTCGCTTACCGGCTTTCCTTGTAGAACACTTAGTCACGCTCTGTCCCTGTCTTCCCTAGAACTGCTCTGCTTTCAACTGCCAGGGATGGGAGAAAGCTGAAGAGGCTGGGTGTTCATGGAGAGAAGACAGGGATGGGGCTGGAGACCTAGAGTCAATGAGACTCGTAAGCCCAGAGGCTGTAGCTACATTATTTCCCCTCTTCTAGGATGTTTCCTCACCTATAGGACGAAGAGCACAAGTTCTGTCCCCATCCCAGGTAGGCTTACCACATCTAGAAAACAGAAATACACGATGCCCAGTTAAATTTGAATTTCAGGAGCCGGGCATGGTGATGCATGCCTGTAATCCCAGCACTCGGGAGGCTGAGGCAGGAGGATCGTTTCGAGTTTGAGGCCAGCCTGGGCCACAAAGTGAGCTCAAGGCCAACCTGAACTGTATCGCGAGACTGTGTCTCAAAAAGACCAAAAAAAAAAAAAAAAAAAAAAATTGAATTTCAGATAAGCAATGGATGTTTTAGCATAAATTTGGCAAAATACTATGATATGTAACTTACGCTAAAATTGTTTTTGTTATCTAAAACTCACATTTAACTCAGTATCCTGAATGTCATTTGGCAACCCTGCTTCTCAGTAGTAATTACAGGTAGTAAATTTAAATGACTACAGGGACCAACTAGATGGAATAAAAATATAACACCCAATATATCTCTTTTCTTTGCTTCCTTCCTCCTTTTCCTCTTTCCTTCCTTACTTGTTTGTTTTGAAACAAAGTCTCACTATGTAGGTCAGGCCTACCTGGAACTTACTATGTTCTTCAAGCTAGCCTTGAATTTGCAATTGACCATCCTGCCTCAGCCTCCCAAATGCTGGGATTACAGGTGTCTTGGTGTTCATTTTCTACATTATAATTACTAAGTCATGCCCTAATGTCTTACACGCACTATTAGTGGTTAGAAAGGAAACAGGAACTCATTCTCCTCCACTCATTTGTTTTTTTTTTTTTTTTTTTTTTTTTTTTTTTTTTTTTGTCTTTTTGATGCACGGTGTCACTATGCAGTTCAGGCTGGCCTTGAGCTCACTTTGTAGCCCAGGCTGGTCTCGAATTTACAACGATCCTCCTGCCTCAGCCTCCCAAGTGCTGGGATTACAGGCATGCACCACCACACCCGGCCCCACTCATTTAAGTTTGAACAGCACCTTTGGGTCATTATTCCTACTGCTGTGCTAATATTTTTTTTTTTTTTTTGGTTTTTCTCCGGTACCGGGAACCGAACTCACGACCTTGCGCTTGCCAGGCAAGCGCTTTTGCCGCTGAGCTAAATCCCCAGCCCCTGCTGTGCTAATATTATAGACAGCTAAGTTAGGTAGAAGTACTGTAGGCAGTCGAGCAGGGCTGGGCCCTGGAAGAGGTCAAAGCAGAAGACAACTGTGGCTGGACGCACATTCACCGAAGGCCAGACTTCAGGAAAAAAAGGAACTGCTCACTCATATACTTACCCTAGCAAGGACCAGCAGTGATTGATATTCTAATTAGGCATCAATCACCTTGGGGTGGGGACCAAACCTCCTTAACCCACCCCTCCAGCAAAGTCCTTCTCCGCCCCATGTGCCCTTGTTACCTGACTTGCTTCCAATTTGATCCCCATTTAATCAATATTTCCCCAGCAATTATACTTGTTGTAACCTTATTGGTCAACCATAGTCTTGTCCCACCTCATACCCACCTTATGATTTCCCACTGGACCAATATTACCTAAGCGACCGTACTTGTAATCTTATTGTTTGACTACAGGTCTGTCCCACCCCCTGCCTCACCTCATGGCTTTCCTAGACCTTTCCTAGACCTTTCCTAGACCTTTGAGAAGCAAGGTCAGTGAGCAACCCACTTTCCAAGCCACCTTCTTTCCCTCTTAGAAGCTTTTTTTCTCTCAATAAATTCTTCCTACTCTTTTTTTTTTCTGTGGTACCAGCAGTCGAACTCAGGACCTTGTGCTTGCCAGGCAGGTGCTGTGACACTGAGCTATATCCTGGGCCCAATTATTCCTACTCTTAAACTCTGTTGTTCCTAGAATTCATTCCCTGATTTTAGAGGACATGAACTCAGCGTTTTGGACATCTAGCAGGTTGGGAGTTTCTTTCCCCTCTATCACTAAGTGACACAGAAAATAATAAGAGAGAGAGAGAGAATAGACGCCCACCCCCCCCCCCCCCCCCCCCCCCATAGGATCTCCTGGCCTGATCTCCCCTTACCTTTACCCTACTCAAACCTTATTAAGAGTTCATGAATATGCACTACATCTCATGAATGTCATTAAGAGTGAATTCTGGGACTGGCATTGAGAGCCCCTAGCTGATTCAGCACCCTGGTAGACACACCTAGAGATTCAGTGGAAGAACCTGGGCTGCAGTGCACAACTTTTTAGTTCCAAAAGCCTGATTTATCTGTGTGTGGTACTTTTTGCTTTCCTGCCAACCCAACCCCATTCTTCTGTTTATTACATATTTTGTCAGCAGGGCCTTGCTCTGAGCACATCTTCCTATGATCTCAGTAAATGTAGCTGCTTTTCACTTACCCTCAGGTATGTACTTGCTTGTTGTACACAAAAGCCTGGAATTGATTTGTTTTCTTTTTTTTGGATTTTCGTTTTTTTCCGGTACCAAGAATTGAACTCACGACTTCATGCTTGCCAGGCAAGCACTGTGCCACTGAGCTAAATCATCAGCCCTGATTTGTTGAATTCATCACACAATAACACTATCTCACTGAATATTCACATCAATCTAGGTGAAGTGCTCAATTTTTCATCTATAAAATGGGAATTGTAGCCAGGTGCATGCAATCCCAGCACTCAGGAGGCTGAGGTGGGAGGATTGCCATGAGTTTGAGGCCAGCCTGGGCTACCTAGCCAGTTCAAGGTCAGCCTAAACTGCATAACGATACTCTGTCTCAAAAAGCAAACAAAGCTGGGCATGCTGGTGCATACCTGTAATCCCAGCACTCAGAAGGCTGAGGCAGGAGGATCTTGCAGGTTTGAGACCAGCCTGGGCTACAAAGTGAGCTCAAGGCCAGCCTGAAGTGCATAGTGAGACCCTGCCTCAAAAAAGACAAAATAATAATAATAATAATAATAAATTTTTTAAAAAGAGAATTATAAGGGCTGGGGATTTAGCTCAGTGGCACAGTACCTGCCCAGCAAACACAAGGTCATGAGTTCAATTCCCGGTACCAGAAGAAAAACAAAAACAAAAACAAAAAAAAAAGAGAGAGAGAATTATAATATACCTTACCTCAAGGATTAGTATGAGGATTACATTAGCTAAAGCAAAGTAAAATACATAGCACAATAGAACAATGCCAAGCAAATACTGAAAAAGCAGTATCTGTAATTTTCTCCATAATGTATGTGAGAAAAATGAGTCTCAGAGAAGCAAGGTAATTAGCCCTCAATTGCAATGTTAGTGATAGAACTAGAATTTGAACTCAGGTCCAAAATGTTGGCAACCAATTTAAAGTATCGTGTTTGTGCACACCACTAATCCTAGCTACTCAGGAGACTGAAACAGGAGAATGGCAAATTTGAGTCCACTTGGGAAATTTAGCAAGATTTGCCTAGTATGTGTGAGAGCCAGGGTTAAATTCCCAGTACTAAAAAAAGAAGATCCATAAAGACTGGGTTCAGGGAGCTTCTGGTCATTGGACATATGGAAATTTCCAGAGGGTGGTGCACTCAGTGAGCACAGGATACTGTTATAGACAGCTAAATTAGAAATATTAGAATATTGCCTGCCTGGCAAGTGTGAGGTCTTGAATTCAATTCCCAGTACAAAAAAAAAAAAAAAAAAAATTACAGACAGTCAGACAGGGTCAGGCCCTCAAAGGAGCCAGTGCAAAAGATGGGATACCCTGCAGCTGTGGGGGAGACCTCAACACAAAAGATGAAAGGAATGCACCCACATACTCCCCTAAGAATAAACAACAGTGATTTTCCTTTCTTTTTTTTTTTTTTTTTTGTCTTTTTAAGACAGGGTCTCGCTATGCAGTTCAGGCTGGCCTTGAGCTCACTTTGTAGCCCAGGCTGGTCTCGAACACACAACGATCCTCCTGCCTCAGCCTCCCGAGTGCTGGGATTATAGGCAAGTACTACCGCACCTGGCTTTATATGTTAGATATTACAAATATATTCTGTTCTTAACCTCTATTGTTTCTGGAATTCATTCTTCGATTTTAGAGAAC